TTTCTACGTATACCATTCCTTAAAATATAAAAAGCACTACTGCCTAGAAAAACAGAGAAATTAAATGGCTATTTAGGGAAGGAAGGAATATCCACTTCATGATTTTCTCTGTATATACTCAAAATAGTATTGTTAGGACGCTTCTGTGCTAATTGTCTGTTGACTCATAGTTTGTCTTCCTTCAGTCTTTCCATACTATAAAAGAAATATATGTTCACTTTTTAACACATTAAAATGTATTGAAGGAACTAAAAACTGCTTGATATGGCTTTGTTCTGTCTTCAGTTCCCAAATAGATCTTTTTTTTTCCTTTGTACGAATCGTGATGGGTCATTATTTTTTCCTTTTTGTTCCTACAATACAAATATTACTTTTACATTTCAAAAACATATTGTGAGCATGCTTCTGTCTGTAGAGCTGACACATTCTCCTTTACCTAGCAGTATAAAAGCAATAACATGATTTACACAGTTTATTCACATTTCATGATGGACTTTGCAGTTATGTCCAATGCTACAGGGAGCCTGTTGTCAGAGAATGCAAAGAGCCAAATAATAAAAGCCAGAACCAAGGGCCCTGCAACCTCTCTGTAAGCCACCACGTGTTGGATCAGAAAGAGTCCACTGTAGATTGCCCCATCTTCCCACAGTTCTGAGGGCTGAGATGATGAGCTCCCTGGTCTATCAGTAGTGGTATCTTGGTCAGCATGAGCCCCAGGATCTGAGAGGAGAAGGATGCAAATGTAAACTGAGAAACAGCAGAACAAAGCCCGAGAGGAAGGTAGCCTGGTTGCTAGCTCTCCATGGCCTGCCAGCTCTGACCTTCTCTTATTCAGTAAGATCCTCGTTATTGAATGTAGCTGACACCCTTTTAGATAGTTTTGTAATGTTTTTGTTTAGGAAATTGTAGCATGATATAATAATTGTAAAGGTAAAAGGAGCAACTTCCCACACAGCAAAACATTAACTCAGGGCCTGCTGTAGTCATTATTTAACCTCAAATAGGGGCTTCTAACCTACCTTTGATCATTTAGTTCCCATATGACACCCAACCTTCATATTTATAAAAAAGCCTTTATAGCATTAATTGGGCAGATATCTACCTTCTAAACTATTAGAATTTACTTCTTCATCAAGAGCCCTGAGTTATAACTTGCCATGTTCTATCTGGGCAAGCTCTTAACTCCCATCGACCAACCCTCATGGCCATATTTTCATGATTCATGCCCCATGTCTTCTCTCTCCATTTTTCCTACCCTACCCTCACCCCTGCTGTTTCCTGCCCCCAACCCCAAGCCTAGAAATCAAAACCCCCGTCTATTTTTCTTCTTCCCAGCCATAGGCTGTAGACATCTTTATTCACCAATCAGGGATAACCTGGGGGCAAGGTTACATGCCATCACTATGGTGGTATGCAACCATGTAGATTCTCTTGTTACTGGAGCAACCAGGCCTTACATTACAATACATAACAAAAGACCAAACTGTAACAAGGGCCCAGGACTCTGCTTCTGCATTGATGACTGTATTCATATTTTAGAAACTCTCTTTTAATATTCAAGTTGAGATTTGTGTAAAATGTACATAATATAAACATAACTAGAAGTTCTTTTGATAGAAGATAAAAAAAAAACCTTTGTAACTTTTCTTACCTTGTAAGAAATGTATGATTTTATGTAACATATAATATTTAAATATTTAAAATATTATATTTTAATATTTTTATATCTGTTGTTATGTTTAGCTTTACGGCTATGGATAATCAAGCATGAATTCAGGGTCTGGACCACCAAGCCAAGCATAGTGTGTTTCCAGTTACATGGAGAGATGATTTTTGAAGATAAGCATTTGAACATGGCCCTCACGTCTAAGGCAATGTTTACTGATGGGAGATAGAGTTAGGGCCTCATGGGTAGAGATTCTTACAAACTACCAAATATTTAAGATAATGCCTGTGTCTGTCTCACACTATGTCTCTTACACACACACACACACACATAACACACACACACACATGACATGCACACATGAAAACACACAAAAGGGGCAAGACAGAGGGAGAATTTTAAACAGAGAAAAGTTAATGAAAAACAGAATCTAAAGGAGGCATACATGCAGCTAGCTGCATATATCAGCAGGATTTATAATTCTTCTTAATAATTACCATGTCATTTTGATTTCATGGCTGACTGGATTAGCGGTTATGCAACTTCATGTCAGTCATGGAATCTCTCATTCCCAGTGGCGATATCCAAAAAATCTAGATCATACCTCATTGCCTTATAGAATTATAATGAAATTTAAGTGATGTAGTAGACACAAAATATCTATAGATATTATTGAAGACATGTTGGTTTCTCTGTTACAAAAGTCAAGAGAACTCTAGCAAGAAGGTCTTTCTTTTGAGAACGAAGAGGATACACAGGAAGAAGGTCAGATAAACTATAGGGAGAGGTGACCAATGATGCAAGTAGTCTCTTGTCACTTGTGCTTATAGGAACAGAGAGATGTTTACCCATCATCTGTCTAGATAATTACCCTGTGAATCAGACAGGGTGATTGTCATAGCTGATTTGTAGAAGTGAAACTGTGACTTATAAATTTAAGTGAATTGCCCACAGTCACTTTGCAACTCTGTAATCAAGTGTATTCCTTTGAACTAATAGTTCAGTGTTCATTATACTTCTCCGAGCCATCAATGCCCAGACACTTGGCAAGTATCAAACAGCTGGAAGTCTAATTCCAGACTGTGTCTGCAAACCTCGTATGATGCTCACAAAAGGGGACTAGCTAGCACAGTAAGAGAAGGGCTTTTTATGGTACTTTCAGACTACCACAACACTCCTGAGAACACCTAGGGCACCACATGAATTCTTACATGCAATGGACGAGAGCTGTGTTCCTAATTCCAGATGCAGCATGTGTGCATATTCTCATTTTGTTATTAGCATTTTCTTAATGGAAATCAGTTGTCTATGAAAAGCTATCCTTTAACTACTATGAGAAGGCTGCCTTTTTTTCTTCAGGCCAGAGTTTGGTATGTCATAAACACCAAAGAGGATTGAATCCATCCTTTGGTGGACACTGGGCACATTTTGTGTTCTGAGGTAATTTGTCAGAAAGTATAAACCTGTGCTTGGCCTCTGAGTACAAAAACCCTGCAATGGGTCTGTTACCACCAAAGGCCAGACAAACTTCATTGTCTGGGATTGAACTCAGGGACATGTCTGAGGGCTGTGCAGAACTGGACCCATCCCTTTCCTGGGCATCCATGGGACAGCTAGCCCTGAAGGCATGGGACCATGAGAGATGTCCTTGTCCCTCACAGCTACATTAGGGAGAGTGGGCCTTGTACCTCACCTGAGTTGCACAATAGAGTTGACCCTGGTGATGAGGGTCATGTCTGTGAGCTGGCCCCAAGGGGGTGGATGTAAGAGAGGTGGCACCAAGTGTATGAGTGGGGGAGAACTGGACCAGTAACTTTTCTGCCTTGCGGCAATGTGGGCTAGAGAGAGATACTCTTCCCCACCCTCAGTCTTTGCTGCTGGTGGCTGATGGGAGAGCTGGCCCTGGAGTCATGAGAGAAGAAGAGCAGAGTGGGCCCTGCTCCTCACCTGCTGCAGCACTTGGGGGAGCAGACTCTGCACCTCACCGGGGCAGCACAGTAGAGCTGGTGCTGGACACGGGGATTGGAGGTGATCAGGCCTGAGGAGGTAAAGACAGGAGAGCTGGTCCTGCCTCTTGTCTGCTTGTGGCGCATGGATGAGGGAGAGATGACCTCCTCTCCTCCTTTGTCCCTCACAACCTGTGACAGGTTGTTGCAATGAACATTTGCTAGCAAAGTAGTATGGACAAAAGAGTATACTGTGGGACACACTGTGACACATTAGAGCTTCCACAATAAGATGCTTTTTCCTTTGTTGGAGGACGAGTTTGCAAGGGTGGAGGGTGGGTATGAGGGGAGGGACAGATGAATGAGATTGGGGTACATGATATGAAATTCATAAAGAACCAATAAAAAGTAAAAAAAAAACCCTGAATATATATGTATACGTATACACATATATACATATGCACATATACACATACACACATACACACACACACACACACACACACACACACACACACAGACACACGCAAACAAACACACATATTCTCAAAGCCTTGCTAGGACCTGACACATGCTATCTACTCAGCAAATTCAGCAAATGCCTTCTACCATCATCGCTTCTGAGTTACAGCTCAAAATCAATTCTTAGGAAAACTTAGAAAAAAAATCATATTTGAAAGACGGTCAGTTTAGATTTTTCAGAATATATAATAACTGCTACCTCCTATACAACAAACCTATACAACAAATGGTTTCTTAAGAGTTGTCAGAGAAGGATTATTTGTAGGAGGATTACTAGGAGTCATTCCTAGGTGCTGGCAATGATTGTGTCCACTCAGCGTCAAGCAAAACTGCGTAGCATAAACCTGAGCATACTGAAACCTACCTGAATCAGCACACATTATGTCTCAACTGTGGAAGGAAAAGCCTCAGATAGAAAATCGAATTTAGTTCTAAAGAGTAAGGAAATGTGCTTTGTTTATTCCCCACAATTACAGTGGTTTGGTTTCAGCTCAAATAAATACCACAAACAATTACTCCGGGAGTGGCCACTCCAGTCTGTCTTCATTGGTTGCCAAGCTCCGGGTTGGCTGATTCTTCCATAGAAATAGCAGAACAAAAAAGTCCAGGCCTTCTACACCCTCAAGCGTTCGAGTGTTGGTTTGGGATCCAGGATTATTTATAGCAATCTGGTTCACAGAAGTACTTCCTGCCCTATTCAGCAAATGCTCACGTGGACATCCTAGAGCCAGGGCGCAGACACTGTTATTGTGCCACCGAGATCAGCTCTTCAAGTCTGTAGCGGTTTTGATGTAGCCATTGGTCTCTGAGGTGACCCTTTTACTTCTGACCGGACTCATTTTTTAATGTGTACATTCTATCTATAGATTCTGTGATGAGGACAGAGTCATCGGAGATGACTGATGTGGAATCTGTGATCACTAGCTTCGCGTCGTCAGCAAGGGCAGGCCGTCGCAATGCCTTACCCGACATCCAGAGTTCACTGGCTACAGGTGGATCCTCTGATCTACCACTGAAGCTGGAGGCGTTGGCTGTGGAGGAAGGTAAAACTCCTAATCCTCGGAAATAAAGCACTCACCATGTCTCTCTTTTTAAACTCTTTCTCTGGAGTAGCCTTTTAACTAATTATAAGTGATCTCTTTTCTTCTTGACCAAAAGCTCTCAGGTTTTAAGGCTAAGTGGATTTCTATGCCCTTCTGAAACTGGGCAATTTCTTTCTTTCTTTTTTTTTTTTTTTTGTTTTTTCGAGACAGGCTTTCTCTGTGTAGCCCTGGCTGTCCTGGAACTCACTCTGTAGAACAGGCTGGCCTCAAACTCAGAAATCTGCCTGCCACTGCCTCCCAAGTGCTGGGATTAAAGGCGTGAGCCACCACTGCCCGGCCTGAAACTAGGCAATTTCATCTGTTAAGTCCTAAAGGTAAACATAGAAACAGGTGTTCTGTCTATTGGATGTGCATGATCACGTGATAGGATTCTAGGTTCTACCTCCAGTACAAAATTAATTAAGTAGTCATGAATATTAATCATTGCACTGGATCTGAGTACTGTGGCTCAAAACTAGTTCATTATCTGTCTTAATCTGCCACTTACAATTTGAGAACCTAATACAGAAGCTAGTGACTTCTGGATCTTCTAACTTTACAAGAAGTAATGAGAGATGATCCCAGACACAAGGTATCGTTTCTTATTTCTATTATTGCTATGTTGTCTACCCTTCAATTTTACTACTGTTAAATGCTGGGACCCCAGTGGTGAGTAGGGCAGATGTAAATGCCTACTGTCCTGTGGATTTGATAGTCCAACAAGAGTGCTAGATTTTTAATGAATAAATACATAGTCTAACAATGATATGCTTTATCAGAAAACTGGATGGGTGCTTTGTAGAGAGTTCCTCAGTGACGACATTATAATAGAAATCAGAGCAGCCATCACTGAAATCAGAATATCTCAAGCGGCTGAGGCAGGAGGATTGCTATTAGATTGTTGCTATCCTGGAATACACAGTGTAAGTTATTTTTTATTCTCCTGTATAATTGTCATGTGGGAGGCTTACTGTCTCAGACTGCTTACCTAGGCCTAGTCCTGAAAGCTTCTGGCCCCCATACAATCTTATCTAGACCTAGAATGTTTTCAGCCTCTAAGACTTAACTGCTGAATAAGCTCACCCTTTCTAGTTCTTTTTGAGCTCTGGCTGGTTCAACTCCGCTATTCTGGCTCAAACTCTTCTCCCAGTCTGGCTTCTCTCAGTTTATCCAGAATTGCTGTTTGGCTTCAAACTAACTATAGCAATCTTTTCTAGTCTTCTGGCTCCTTTTTATTCTCTTGCTCATTCTGTCTTTACCTGTGTCTAACTTGTTCTCTCTTCAATCTGTTTCTGTAATACTCTGCTTATAAAAATGCCCCCTCCCCTCCCTCTCTGTCCCTCTCTGTGCTGCTAAACTAACTCTCTCTCTCTCTCTCTCTCTCTCTCTCTCTCTCTCTCTCTCTCTCTCTCTCTCTCTCTCTTTCTCTCTCTCAACTCTACTGTACAGCTCTCCAGGAACTTTACTTTATCCTGTACTGTACTCGCTTCCTGTCTGTTTCTCCCTTAAGTAGCTTCCCTTTCCTCTCTCTTCTCATGACAGAATAGGAAGTCTGTCAAATCTTTCTCTGATTTGTCACTTAGTCTGCCACTCAATTACACATCACTTTCAAACGTGAGTGCTTCCTTTACAAAGTAACTATACCTTCATTGTTTGAGATTAAAGGTGTATACTAAGGGCATCTCTGTCTTCCAGCCAGGAGGATTAAAGGTGTGGCTAAGGACTGAGCCATACTAGAAACAGGTCCAAATACCCTATAAAATCAGTAGTTCGCAGGACAGCCTGTGCTAGCTACAGTGTAAGATTTTCTTAAACAGATACCAGCATAATGACAACATCAGTTTATATACCAAGGTAGAGGGGAAATTCCATGTGGTTCTATCATTAGGTAGAGCTTTGGGAGGTCAGTGCCCACTGATAGAGAATCAGTTATCTCCAGAGAGGAGTTCCCACTTAGTTTGCCCAATTCGTAGTGGTCAGCCATGAACACATACACACATGTACAAAGCGAAATAGATTCAGTAGGTTATTCATACAAATGTGGATACATATATGATTGTATGTATGTGTGTGTGTGTATATATATATACATATATATATACATATATATATGTATATATATGTGTGTGTGTGTGTATGTGAAACTAAATAAAAATAGGTTATGAATTTGTGTGAAGAAGGAAGGAGCTTGGAGAAAGGAGTGAATTATTGGTGCAGTATGCATGAATGAAGTTCTCAAATGCAGTGCACATGGATGAAGTTCTCAGATGTAGTGTGACCCAGTCCAAAACCCACGTTTGGGGCCAGATGACCCGGTTCATTCTGCCCCACATTTGGGGGCCAAGTGTCCCAGTCAGTTCTACTGCTCCAGTCTGTGGGTCAGTCAACAGGGTCTAGCAAGAGAGAAAGAGAGTGAGGATGGAGGGGCAAGAGATACGAAGAATGGAGACAAGACAGGGTATGTGATCAAGTCCCCCTTTATTGAAAGGAAATTCTGGGTCTTTATACACTTTACCACGTGTCTTGCAGCCGTGAACAAGCAGGGGAACACAGTTGAAGGCACTTTACCACGTGCGCCTTGCAGCTGGGGCACTGCAAAACAAGATATGTCAGAAAAACAAGATATTTATCAGAGTGTGCTCAGCTGTTGTAGGCTGTTGAAAAACAAGTCTCTTGTCAGGGTATATGGCTCGAGATGGCTGCAAAGATGATAGCCACTTTCTGCTAAAAGTTGGCTCCCAACAGTAGTTTGCATGGATGAAGTTCTCAGATGCAGTGCTCATGGATGAAGTTCTCAGATGCAGTGTGCATGGATGAAGTTCTCAGATGCAGTGCTCATGGGTGAAGTTCTCAGATGCAGTGCTCATGGGTGAAGTTCTCAGATGCAGTGCTCATGGATGAAGTTCTCAGATGCAGCGCTCATGGATGAAGTTCTCAGATGCAGTGCCCATCGATGAAGTTCTCAGATGAAGTGTGCATGAATGAAGTTCTCAAGGAAACCCACAATTTTTAAAATACTTAAATAAAAATCCAACCACTCCTTTGTGCATATCATAACAATCCAGCTCTAAGGAGATAGGATAGGGGAGAAGGTAGAATATAGAATGCAGAATAAACTGCTGATGCAGTCTAGAAATAAAAACCGACCACTATGGGTTGAGGGTGAGTGAGAGAACAAGTTCCTCAGGGTAACTATGGACACAGATACAAGGGCTGGATCTTGGGAGACTTTAGAAATACAAGTGGAGAAAAGGATTTTCATTTCCAATGAGAGTAGGTCAAGTGATGGGTTGGCATCTGATTCATGTTTAAAGTTTTCTCATTAAATATAAAATGGAAAGTGGGTGTTTGGGAAGCATTTATGTTAAATTATGGATATGAACCTCCCATTAGAAAAATCTCTTTAGGCCAAATTAAACTTTTGGATTCACAAGGAAACATGTAATCCCAGACTAGCCAGAGGTGAACAGTTACCGAAACTCAAAGGCAGCGGGGGAAGCACACAGTCTTCTTGCATGAGATCCTTCATGAGGGTGGTAAGGCAGGCACGGGGTCAGTTCTATCTGTCTCCCCTCACCAGGGGACTTCAGGGAGACAAGGTCAATGGAGCTACAGAAGCCCTGTGTGCCACATGAGCTACTACAGTGTAATACATTGCTCAATCAGCAGAATCATGGTTTATAGGGCAACCCAGTGTAATGGTTCCCTACAAAGCACTTACTAATTTATCCACTTACTTATTTTTATACATTCTTTTCTAAAACTGTGAATTGAACTTGGGCATCATATATGCTAGGCAAGTACTTTTCTACTGAACTGCATTCCTAGTCTATCCTCCCATTCAGTTTTTTTTCAGTACAGATGTATTTTTGTATAACCATCCTATATGTTGTACGATTAGACCCAGATTAGTATTGTATCCTAATTAACCTAAGACAAACATCTCCTTAAAAAAGGAGGAAAACAAAAGTTGACTAACCCATGGGAAGTGAAATATAATGACTTCAAGTCAGTAGGAAGGACAGAGAAAGGGGTGGGTTAGGGTGGTGTCTAGTAGGCAGAATCAGAAGGACTTGCTAATGAATTTGTGTATTGTAGAGATAAAGAAGAAAAATGGGTGATAACCCCTAGAATAACTGAGTTCAATGTAATAGGAGCGAGAGAGAGAGAGAGAGAGAGAGAGAGAGAGAGAGAGAGAGAGAGAGAGAGATTGATTAGCTGAAGTGAGGGCAATTTTGAGAGTTAAATGAGTAACAATTTTGTTTTCTTTCATATCTCATTAGAGATCTCTATTCCATGTGTATACTTTAAATAGTTGAACATGTCATTTCAGAATATATTTTATGTTATAAAGGAGAAAACATTTTCTTAAACATGAAATGTCGCATTTTTTTTCTTTCATTTTTGTTTTCTTGGAGCCTAGATCCTAGGGGCTTGCACTTGCTAGGCAAGTCTTTACCACTGAACTAAATCTCCAACCCCTGAACTGGTCCCATTTCTGGTAAACCACGTGAGCAGATTGTTTTTAGTACAGATGGAAAGACTTACTGTAAGAAAGAAAAGGAGCCCAGAAAGGCCACTGTAATGTTGCAAAAGTTACTCATAGTTAAGCCTTAACAGATTATGTGTCAAAAAAAGGGATGTGACAGTATCTAGCTCTAAGACCATTAAACTTAGCACCAGCTTTCTCAACATATCGTCATGGAGAGTTTCCTGAATTTAATGTATATATAATAATAATGTAATATATGTGTGTGATATACATATACATACATATATATGATAAAGAAGATATTCTAAAGTTTGAGAATTCCATACATGCATATAATATATTTTGATTAAATATACCCGTTTTCCTTCCCCTTCAACTCCTCTCCTACCTCCTCCAGACTTCTTCCTCAAAACTTCACATGATCTTTAAAGCCAAAAATAGAAACAAAGACAACAATTCACTGAATCCT